GGATTTTGGGTCAGAATTCCGGGATTTTGGGTGGGAATTCCCGGATTTTCCCGTTTGCAGCCGGCAGTTACTCCCAGGATTCCTCGCTGAGCTCCGGGGGGTTCCAGGAGCCGGGCGGGAATTTCGGATCCTCGGAGCGCGGGCGCGGCCGCGGCGCCTTCGGCTCCCGGGGCGGCTTCGAGCGCGGGCGCGGCCGCGGCAACCGCGGGAACATGGGGTGAGTGCGGGAAAACGGGGAAAAACGGGGAAAAAACGGGAAAAATGGGGAAAAATGGGGAAAAAACGGGGAAAAACGGGGAAAAAACGGGGAAAAACGGGGAAAAAACGGGGAAAAATGGGAAAAAAATGGGAAAAAATGGGGAAAAATGGGAAAAAACTGGAAAAAAAGGGAAAAAACAGGGAAAAAACGGGAAAAAAATCTGGAAAAAAATGAGGAAAAAATGGGGAAAAAGGAGAAATCCATGAAAAAATGGGAAAAAATGGGGAAAAGAATCCGTGAAAAAATGGAAAAAAACGGGGAAAAAAATGGGGAAAAATCCATGAAAAAATGGGAAAAAAATGAGGAAAAAATGGGGAAAAAACGGGAAAAAACAGGAAAAAAAGGGAAAAAAATCCGGGGAAAAATGGGAAAAAAATGAGGAAAAAATGGGGAAAAAGGAGGAAAAAACCGGAAAACGATGGTGAAAAGAACGGGGAAAAAACGGGAAAAAATGGGAAAAAACGGGGAAAAAACCGGAAAAATTCCGTGAAAAAAATGGGAAAAAAAATGAGGAAAAAATGGGGGAAAAACGGGGGAAAACCAGGAAAAAATGGGAAAAAAATGAGAAAAAAATGGGGAAAAAGGAGGAAAAAACCGGAAAATGATGGTGGAAAAAACGGGAAAAAATGGAAAAAAACGGGAAAAAATCCATGAAAAAAATGGTTAAAAATGAGTGGAAAAATGAGGAAAAATGAGTGAAAAAAAGGTGAAAAATGGTTGGAAAAACGGTGGAAAAAATGGGGAAGAAAGATGGAAAAGTGGGAAAAAAGTCAAAAAATGGGGAAAATCTGTGGAAAAAAA